TCAAGATTAATGCTCTAGAATTCGAATTTTGTATGTAACTATACAAAATTTATATAATTCGAAACCAGTAAGTGTCGACATTGAAATGTAAATAAATGACGAAATCAGAATTTTCAAAAAGATTGCGTCTAGGATGAAGGCGAACTTTGACAGAGAAAATAAGACCTTTTACGCCAATAAATTGACGACTTGAGCTATACCTATTATTCTTTAACTTGAATATTTACTTTTCTTAAAATATTGGATCTCTGAAAGTACAAATTTCATTGAAAAGCGTAATGTAAGGAAACTATACGTGTGCAGATATTACTGCGGTTATGTATCTATTACTGCGAGCCAAATACTGCGGACGTTCCGATCACTGCGTGTCAAGGTTGACATAACCCATTCTCTTTTAAATGTACGCACACAGCTACAATTCCTAGGAATCAAGATGTTCTCACTATAGCACTTTACAAATTAGGTATAGGTACCCTACGATCAAGCGTGTCGCTTCGGCTCATCGAGAACTGCACTGTACAGGTCAAGGTTTCACAGTTCAGTAAAGCAGCGCAGTAATGTATACATAGTAAAAATCTATGCGCCAAATACTGTGCTAGTAAGTAATATTTGAGGATAGATGATAGTGACAGTGTATGTTGATTGTTTATCAAAATGATGATTACTTTATCTAAAAATAACGCTAAAATGAATAGTTTACTATTAATTATCAAAATATAAATGCCTTTCGAGTGAGCGTTTATAGCAGCCATTACGAGTATTTCATAAGACTCGACGTTTTCATAAGCTTCCGAATATTGAAAGTCAATAAATGAATGAAAACTGCGATTGCTGTTACTTGTGTGTCATAAATTAGCAGTATTAAACATATAAAAAATTATGAGATTCGTTTGTAGAAGATTACAAGCTATAAAATTGTATTACTTTTGTAAAATGCCGCAGTATTTGGGGCGTCCGCAGTAATACCCGCACTTACCCTAACAATAAAATTTCGAAGGAAAGCCGAGAACTCTTCTTCGCTAAAATATTGACTTCAGTTTCAATGAGAAGTAATTATTACTATTTCGTCATAACGCTCGATAAATTCTTGAATGACCACTGTTATCAACGCGTCTATTTATAATAGTGAATCAGCAGTACGTGATCCACTATTTGTTTACTGAATTATACGTGACAGAAAACTCGGTTATAAATGTTCTCCTTTTGATAAATTCAAAATTCCCTGGTTACAGTAAAATTTTACGAACAGCAAAATAATCAATAATAATAATATAATAAATAATAATGATAATAAAAAAAAATAAAAATATAATAATATAATAAAAATAAATAAATAATAAACAATAAAAAATAATAAATAAAAATAAATAAGAATAATAAAAAAAATAATAATTAATCACCATGCAAGAGAAAAAGAGAATAGATTAACAAATAATTCGCACATTACTGGCACTTCGTAACGAGCAGTTCTCATTGTCGAACGTAAGTGGGGTTCGGCACGTGCGATCTGCGGTTGTTCTAATTAAACTCTCCGGTTACAAACCGTTCCCAGGGTTCATGATCGCGCGAGAACCATATTATCGAAAGTCTAGGAGCGATATCGCGTCGTGCCCAGCAGCTTATTATGCGATTCGCCAAATCCATTCATGCCTTTCAGTCGGAAATCAACTGTACGAACGGGGGGCCCCTTTGAACGATCCCGGCAACCAATCAAAAGGATATTTCGTTCGTTCACCACCGGAAGACTTGTCGTTTTATTCGCGGCTGCCGATCGTCTGCTAAATGCTTCATTAAAACATTTTTCTTTGCACCGTTTCTTTATGCCGTTTCATTCAATGAACATTTAAACTTTTACATGCTCTTTGCACTATGTAGAAATTTTCTCCATCAATTGAGCCGTTTATTTTGAAACTGGCATAAGATCATTTTTCAAGAACACCGAGCTAGCTATTTTAATATTCACATTTCTTATACATTAATATATATTATATTAATGTTTATATTATATATATATATAAAATGTTTATATTAATATTAAATTTAATAATAACTTAATAATAATGTTATAATGTTTATATTATATTATTAATATATAATATATATATTATACGTTATACATATAATTTCATGTCAACAAAGCTGAAAGTAGTGACCCTTAGGAACACAAAAATATTATGCCACCATGTTATCAATTAGCAATATTTTTAAATCTATTAAAACGTAAAAACCTTAAATATCTGGATTTTCAAATAAATGGACTTAGGCCACTTTCAAAATAAACGGCTCAATTGTTGGAAACGAGGGCTAACTAGAATTATTCTTTAACATTTTTCTAGCTTCTCCGTTTAGTATTTTCTGTCTTACTGTTTTATATTACATTTGCCCATAACTGTTAGAAATATATGAAATTAATAGCCTAATAATAACGAATGTAATTATTATAACGTTTTCTTTAACGTTACAAGCACTAAACACTGGCCCGTTTATAATTTATTCATTTACTTTATATTCCAATATACTTAAACGCGCATACAGATCCTAAAATGCCGTTAAAATTCTCGCAGCTCGCGAATCGACTATAAAAGTGTCGCGTTTTTCGAATTTGCCGAGCGGTTCGATCAAGAAGCAGATATTGGGTTGGCAACTAAGTAATTGCCGATTTGTTCGATGAAATAAAAAATTATTTTTTACTTGGAACGAAGTTTAATCCGTAATGTATTTTCCATTTTGTCCGATGACCTTTTGCCATCTCTCCGACAACTTGAAAATTCCACGCTCGTAGAAAGTCTGATCCTTTTCGGCCAAAAACTGAGTTAAGTGAGATTTTACAGCGTCGTCGTCGTTAAAAGTTTTACCACGAAGGGAGTTGTCCAGGGATCGAAATAAGTGGTAATCCGATGGCGCGAGATCAGGGCTATATGGTGGATGTAACATCGATTCCCAACCAATATCCATGAATTTTTGCCGAGTGGACAAAGACGTGTGCGGCCTAGCATTGTCCTGCTGGAAAATGACACCTTTACAATCGACCAATTCTGGTCGCTTTTCCTTGACCGCTGCATTCAATTTGCCCAGTTGCTAACATCCACGGATAATAAAAAATAACATAATAATAATAATAATAAT